GTAGGGAAGCAGTGAACTATGTGAGTTTCTCACATTTCCCATGGCAAAGCCTTTGGTTTTGCAACTTGTCTGGAGCTACTATGGAAGCAAAAAGGAGGCTCCCCAAGCCCCCTCCAGGGTGGTATCAGCAGATCAGCTAAGTGTTGCTCTGAGCTCAAGGAGGGAAAGCTGTGGTTGTGCCACCCTGAGAGACAACGAGTCTGTTAGGATTGCAAGCCTGACCAGGCAAGCAAAAGCTTTGGCAGCATTCCCAGCAGAGGAGGAAGTTCTCTCTGCCAGCAGTTCCTGGGGAGGAGTTGCTGGGCCAAACACAGACTTGGTTATGAGAATCAGATAGAAGTGACCACTACAGAGGAATATTTACCCTAAGCATGGATTTGTGCCAAGCTTTTAATGCCTTGTCAGCCTTGTGTAGCAGAGAGATCCCAACCACTGCCTCACTGTCTCAGGAGGGACAAGCTGAGGAGGAGAGGCTAAGGGAAGTGTTCTCTGCCCAGAGCTGAGAGACCTACCTATAAGCATCAGAGAGGGTCAGAAAGCCAAACTCGCTGGTGCTGTAGATGATGAGATCCTCAGCCATCTTGCTAAGGTGGATCATCAGCAGGGTGGCAACAGACAGGAATTCCACTGCAGAGAAGGCAGGAAATCAAGGGGTGAAAAAGGTGTTTGTTTGTTGAACAGCCCAGGGAACCCTCACTGGAACTTTACCTCCTAATGATGCATTTCAGTGCCCTTGTTAAAGGAGGTCTCAGAAATTTGGTTGTGCTTACCCACAAAGTCTCTCTCGCTAACGGCATCCATGCTGTTGAGGCTGATGGAAGCAAAGTCCAGCTCTGCAAGGAAGGTGATGGACACAGGAGATCAGGCTTGGCATGACTGGAGCTTGAATGCATCAGGCTGCCCCAGTGTGCAGGTGGCTGTGAGCCCTTGAGTAGTCCCAGGAACACAGACATGCTTAGGGTCTGTGTTATGAGCCCAGGCAGCCAACGTGCAGCAGAGGTGCTTCTGTTTATGCTCCCGCCTTAAAGGCACCTCCTGTCTCACTGCAGTAAACACCCTCCTGGCTTACCCAGTCATTATGTATCCTCCATCCTGTGACTGAATATCAGATCATACTCTTTTTTTATTTACTTATTACCCTCCATCCCCATGTTAAAGTGCTGTAACATGAAAAGTAACACCAGGACAGTGTGTCCATGCTTCCCCAAGTCCCAGCAGTCCTGTGCCTCTCAGCCACAGGGAGACATTTACCAGTACACAGAAGCTCTCTATCAATTTCCAACGGGTTTCCAGCCAGAGCTCCACTGCCAGGGAGAAAGAAAAAAGAAGTCATACATGATACCCTGCCACTTCAACCAAAACTGAGCTCTAGCAAGCAGTGATGACACCTCTCTGAAGATTTCCCTCCACCAGTTCATTTTGGTGTCACTGTGTGGTCTGAGGCTCATCAGAATGAACTCTGGGGTAAACCAGAATTTCTCTTCCACAGAGGAGGGTATGCTTGATTAAAGCCTTGTAGATCTTGATTTCAAGAAGGATAAGAACAGTGTCTCTGTGGTGAGAGTCATCGCCTTGGTGAGAGAACCAGGGCCTGCACCCTCACAGTTCCGCAGTGCCTGTGGTGTACAAACCCCAGTGGTTCAGGGCATGTACAGATCTGCCTCTTAGACATTTCTCTGAGCGAAGTGAGGGCTGAGGATTATACAAGAAGCAAACTTTACCTTCCCAAAGGCAAGACATTGATCCTCCTCTTCACGTCTCTCAGGCGCTCAGAATCTCGTGTCAGAGCAACAGCATGGCTAGGGAAGGACAGGAGAGAGGAAGCACATGAAAACAGAAAACATCACAGGAGGTAAGAGTGGCCAAAGAATGAAGCATAGAGGGTGTCAGCCTCCACTGCCTGAACCATGCTGGGGTCCCTGGAACACAGGGAGTTCCAGTTTGCAGGGCTCCCTCTGGTTTGCCATCACCCCTGGCTGCCCCTCAGAGGATGATGCACTCCTGGGCTCCAGCAGAGCAGAGCCCCAAGGGTGGTGAAAACTCCTCCAGCCAGGTGTGAAAGGTGCTTACCTGAGCAAGAACTGGCTCCATCGGATGGGCTGAGCTTTCTGCAGGTGGGTGTAGCCAGGCAAGATGACATCGATTTCTCTGCATGGGAAAGCAGAGAACAAGGTGAGCAGCAGCTGTCAGGACAGAGGGCAGGGACAGGTCTCTGAGTCCCTCCACAGGAGACCCTGCTGCTGCCCCACTGGTGTCAGTCAAAGAAAAGCCCACAAGTCTCCTGTCCCAGCAGGGTTACAGCCATGGATTTGGAAAAGGACTTACATGGCAGCGCGTTCCACCAGGGTCTTGATGAGCTGCAGGAGGTGTGTGGAGATGATAGAGAGGGAATTCTTCATGAACAGCTTCAAGTCAGTCACAACCTGTGTGAGATTGGCCACAGTCAGACCAAGCACAATGTGACATACACAGTGAACAAATATTGCTCAGCAGAAATCCTTGGCACTGTTTTCCCATCCTTGTGGTATGTGATGGGAAGGACTGATCGTGAAAGATGTGTAGCACCCAGCCCCTAGAGTCAGGGTTTCTGTAGGCCTGTAGTGATGTCAGTGGAAATCTGTGCCCTTTTACCACCAGAAAGCAATCCTGCAGATCCCATTCCCCTAGGTGGATGAGTCACTGCAGCATCACCAATTCAAAGCCCAAGGGAGTATATGCTGGAGAGTGTTAGGACATGTGACAGATGGTATAAAAAAATTGATTAAGGAACTGAGATGGGAGAGGAATACAGAAGGAGAAAA